AAAATAAAGTTTTTGTCCATTTTATTGGTGTTTACGATATATATAATGAATAAATGGTTTTAATTTCATATAATGATTATATAATTATATAATTTATTAGACATAAAAAGCCAATAATTATTGACAAAGTCTTCCATTTATTGAATCAATTTAAATGAATTTTAACAGAAATTGTAGCAAAATATGAGTCAAAAAATCATATGAATTCACGAATCGATTGCAAACAAAATGAAGTGTCAATTAAATCTCACTTTTGATTAGTTTTTATAAATTGTTTCTCAAATTATTTGATGATTTGTTTCTGTAATCTCATTGTAAATCCATTTATGAGTTGTTGTTTTCACACACTTTTTAGTTTTTATTAAACGATTTTTTATATTTCATTACAAAATGCTATCATTTTATTAATTTTTCATTCAAAAAGTTTAGTTCACTTTATACGAGATCTGAGTTTTGTTTATAGAATTTGCGTTCAAATCTTAATCCCCTGTCACTAATGCTATACTTATATTGAGTTCAAAACTTGTCTTAAATTACAATCGATTTGACAAATAATCAACTGTTATATCTATGATTAAAACAATCAATACTTGTGTTAAACAAAAAAGTATTAAAGTATTTCATGTAATGTTTGAATAATATATTCGCAAAAAGTTTCCGGAAATCAATAAAACAAATAAATTCAACGACAAAACGTGTGTTTAATTACTATTAAATTATCCAAACTATTAGATATTTAATAAATTTGTTAAAATCTAATAATTTCGTAAATTCCAAGCGTTATGTAGTCGAAGATGTCGTCCTCTTTGGTCCCATAAGTGATGTACGGCTTGAGGATATCCGTCACTTCTTTGAGTTCATTGCACTCCGGAATGAAATACAAGTGTTTGAACGCCAACTGAAACGCAGGTTTCGACGCATTCTTGAGCACCAGTTGACGGAAGAGCTTCTGTGTCTCGAGTGGCCACAAGTGGATCAACGGTAGGGTCAGCGCAGATATCGTCAACAACTGACAGCTCAGGAACGAGTCGTCGCTCAGCTCTATGAACGACATGAGGACCTGTATGTTGAGTCCCATAATCGCTTTCATTGAGTGAAACTTTTGCGATAAAATCAATTTTATGGTCGAAAACAGTTTCACTTTATATGTGTTGACGTAATGGCCGCCCATTAGGTCCAGCAGTGCCTTCAGACTCTTCACGGCATTGAGTGCTCACGAGTAGACGAACACTGGTTATGCATCACCGCCTCAAACGTGTGGATATATCCTAAGAAGTACTCATCCAATACTTGTCTCAACTTTGGTTTGTCGTTGAAGTATATCTTCAGATCATAATTAGTCTCCTTTTTGCGGAAAAAGTTGATGAAAGCGATGCCTCGAGAGTGGACTCGTAGTCGACCGACAGGTGCTTCAGTGATATCATCATCAGCTCGTTGTTCACGACTCCTAACCTCATCCGGACGTCAAAGTTAGTGATAACGGCCAACAACTCAAACAACGCGTTCACCGCATCCAACGATCGGAAGAGCTTCTTATCCGTGAAGACCAGGTGTCTGATGATGTCGTTTAAATAGATTTTGATGACATCACTGACGCCCTGTTCGCTGACCCGCGAGATCTCCTCCAGAAATACCTTCGACTCGTCGTTGCATTTGACCACAAAGTGAGGGATCATATGCTTCAGGAGTTCTCGAGGCAGGCATCTGATCCCGAAGGACCGCATTGTCTTATGCAGTATCGACGCCATGGACTCGAATGTGCCGCTAATGTCCACCAAATTGAGTACAAAGTAACTGATGTCCACCTGATATTCGATGAACAGTTGATGCAAATCGAGACCCTTTTCATGGGACAGGCATTTGATGGCTTTGGACGACACGTGACTCATGAAGGGATCCTTTCCTAAGACAGAGTCCAGGAGTGAGACAACGAATTTGGCGACAATTGTGTCATCGGTTTTGTCGATATCGTTCATACGCTTCCAGAGGTTGGAGACATTGGTCACGCAAACGATGAGTTGTGTCCACTTCTGTGGTGTTGACACACAAGCCGTTCAGTGACCTCTTGAGTATCACTCGTGCGGTGATGGCTCTGGCGATGGGCAGCACTTGTTTGCGGCCGTGAATGGTCGACACTATGACCACAATTGAGGTCAGGATGAGTGGCACGCATTGGTTCACAACACTGTTGTCCGCCGTGTGGTCGACGCCATTATCGTCTAATTTGGTGATCAATGACTTCAAGAGGTATTCAATACAGTCGTCGAAGCGGTGGTCGTTGTCGTAGTGATCGGACAACACTTCCATTGATAGCACACTTCGATAATTGTCTGATAAAA